GACACACAAGGCACTGAACTCTTCGCACGCTTCCCTCGAGGGATGCAGCAGAACCAGCACCATCATTAGCCGCCATAGTCACACGCCCTCTCTAGACTGAACTGAACCCCCTTCTGCCCCAAGTCTTCCTCCACGCTACACTACACCCCAAGTCCTCCGAAGTATACCTGGACCTTCCCTACTGTCGGTTTATCAGGAGATTGCTTCGCTCCTGGGCCCACGAAAACCAACTCTCCCGCCTTCGTCCTTGTACAAATCCAACCGCACCACACACGACCTACCTCACAACCTCCTCCACTCATAACTACACCACCCCATCATTCAGGCTTGGCCCTAGTCGTTTGTAAGCCATTTCACTCACTCGTCCACTCTGGCATCCCTTTCTCTGTATGCGGTCCACTTCTGATCAAATCTCCTCGGCTTGGTCTTGAGGAGTTATTGGAGTTTATGTTGCCATTTGAGCATTACGGTGGAAGTGCCTGTATCTGCGAGCGATAAGCTAACCGTGGCCCTACCTGCCTTGCCAAAATTGCTCTTGAGCGGATATTGCTGGCGTTCTTAATTGCTCCTCGTGGACTGAAGGGCGTCATGGAGAGACCAGAAGCAAATGGTCGGCCGGAAAAGCGCCTGAAAATAGGCGATCCGTACCACGACGATGTAAGCCGTTTGGGTGGTTGTTAAACTTGAGTGTTTCGTGGTCTTTCTTGCGGATCAGAAGAGGAGTGATTTGGCAGTTTTGAAACAGTGATTCATTTACGCCACTGCTTGCAGATACAAGCTGGGCCGAGTTCGCGAGACGGCGTTTTCTACGCTGCCGCCATGCCTTCACTAATTTCAAGGTTGCTTCCACCTTCGTCCCTTCACCTAGCGCCGTCGGTTCCCGCAACTTCTGCCGCGCTTCCGCTTCCTCCTCCAACAGCTTCCGGAAATTTTGTTGCACCAAGCAGTCATGCGGTATCACCTCCCTGGAGACCAGACGACAAGGACGGCCACTACGTTTTTGAGCTAGGGGAAAATTTGACACCCAGATGTGAGTTTCGCCGTACTCAGTTTCTCTATTATCATTTTCTTTGGCTTGGCTAACATCTCTTGTCCTCTTGTGCTGCCTTGTGTAACAGACAAAATCTTAAGCAAACTTGGAGAAGGTATATCGTGCGCTTTGGTCTACTTTGATCCTATTAGCTCCTGTAAGCCGTTCTGACGTCCTTTTCTTTTTTTGGCAGGGACTTTCGGAAGAGTCTTGGAATGCTGGGATCGTCAAATGCAGCAGTACGTCGCAATTAAGGTGATCAGAAATGTACAGAAATATCGTGATGCGGCGATGATCGAGATTGATGTGTTGACAACTCTCGCAAAGCATGACAAGTTCGGCCAAAGGTGTGTATAGAGTGGCAAAACGTTGACAAGTTTGCTCGCACTGGTTATCGATGGGTCATGGATTACAATCTGGATCGTGTTTGCAGGGGCTGTGTGGAGCTGAAGGGCTGGTTCGACTACAGAAACCATGTCTGCATAGTATGTAGTTTCCTCTCCGTTCGCATTTCTGTTTCGTAGCCCATTCTCGCGACATTTACCTTAATGCGTTTCTCTGACTGTGTCGCGTGCTTCATATAATCAGGTATTCGAGAAGCTCGGACCAAGTTTGTACGATTTCTTGAGAAAGAACAGTTATCGGCCTTTCTCTGTGGACGTGGCGAGAGAGTTTTCCAGACAATTGTTGGAATCCGTTGCATGTGAGTCCTGTTGACGATCGTCCTGTTGCCATGTGGCACATTTCGCGTTGAACGTTGGCAGCTGATTCGAGTGGCATTTTTCCTCCCGCCCCTTGCTCTCTTGCGCCCATGTTTTTGCATTTTTGCCACGCCCTGATGTCGAACCTTTTGTTTTCCTCACCATCTCACCAACTCCTCTCCTACTTGGCAATGTCCCCCACGTTGAACGCTCTCAAACAGTCATGCATGAGCTGACGTTGATTCACACCGATTTGAAGCCAGAGAACATTTTGCTGGTCTCGTCAGAGTACGAGAAGGTTCCAGATTACAGGGTAAACGCTCGCGATTCCTGTTTCGGTTTTGTTGTTTGAAGGAGTCGGTGTTTTTCATTGCTGACTAAAAACTCTCGTTTGTCTGCAGAGCGCGACCCAACCAAGCTCTCAAAGTCGCCATCATATGAGAAGAGTGCCTGTGTCCAGCGAGATCAGGGTCATTGATTTCGGGAGTGCAACCTTTGATTCGCATTACCATTGTTCCATTGTTTCAACTCGGCACTACAGGGCCCCGGAGGTGATTCTTGGTAAGTCAATATGTTCGGATTTGCACATTAGTTTTTGCACCCGAAGGTTGTTTACTGACTTGATTTGGATGAGCTCATACAGGAATTGGGTGGTCGTATCCCTGCGATATCTGGAGCGCAGGTTGCATCATTGTCGAGCTTGTCACAGTAAGTGTGCCCTTCAATCATTTGTTGCATGTCTTATGTTCCCTGTTTCTTATTCCAGGCCTCTTGATCATCTCTTGTTATCAGGGAGAGGCGCTGTTTCAAACGCATGAAAATCTTGAGCACCTTGCTATGATGGAGAGGCTTCTGGGTCCAATTCCTCCTCACATCATCAAGAAGGCAGAGTGAGTTTCTCTTGCGAGTTCGAGTCTGCAGTTTCATATTCGTGAACCCACTAGTTCGATTCACTTGATGCCTCCTGTTTTCTTCACATTTGTGAGCAGCCGACGAGCAGAGAAATACTTCAGAAATGGTAGAGAACTCAATTGGCCGGAGGGCGCTGCTTCCCGCGAAAGCATTCGTGCAGTTCGAAAGCTTCCTCGACTAAGAGTATGTATCGCTGTTCTGTTGCCTCACCATATCCCATTCTGTTGAGCCCCTCTCCCCCCCCCACACCCTGCCCCCCCTCCCCCCCTCATTCACTGCCTTAACTATGTGCTTTGCTTATCTCGTCTGGGGCATTGCCTTCGTTTATACGGCAGGACTTGATTATGCAATGCGTGGAGCATTCAGCTGGAACCCTCATCGACCTCCTCTACTCGCTCTTGAAGTTTGACCCTGCGCAACGGCTCACAGCGCGAGAGGCTTTGAAGCATCCGTTTTTCCGGGAGCCCAGCCGTTGCCTGCGTTAGGGGAAAAAATGCATTCCCTGTGCAATTGGGGAATGCACTGACAGCTCGAAATGTCGAATGGCGAGTTGCCATGACCTTAGATTTAGGATGCTTTTGACGCACGCCCTTGCACTAGCTCACCCAAAGCCCAATGTGGCCGTGCTGCAAAACTGCACACCGGGAGGCTGGTTAAGCCGCTTGCTCCAGTTGTAGATAAAAGTTAGAGCTGCAATAGAAATGATATGTTGTATACATGCCATGTTAGCGACGTCATTGAGTTCCACATCCCTCTAGAATCTCTGACCCTCTCATGCAACTACTCATACAGGTAGCCATGAAAAGTGAACATCAACATAATCATTCATAACACAATTTGCACATTCAAGTAACAGCCACAATCTCCTCCCTGAAAATGCCTTGAAAGTTTTGAAATAGCACACATCAGGAGGCTCCTTGATCCAAATGAATCAGTGCTGCAAGGACACACGCAGGGAGGGGAATTGAACCATCTTTCGAACTGTCTGCTAGAGCAATACCATGTCAGCCTAGAGAAGCACACAACCCTACACCAGCAATGCTCACTCTTAATGCAAAACGAGGTGCATCCCATCCATCCACTTCCCTCTTAGCCCAATCAGGCACACAAACACATCGCACCACAGGTCATGCATTCCCTGTACTTACTGCTGCCGCTTCTGTTGCCACTGGTGCCGCCTCTGGGGCAGGCTCGGCCTTCTTGCCCCCTGCAAAAGCCCGGTAAGCGCCATAGAACACAAGGCCCCAACCTCCCAGCGAGACAAAGACGAACTGCACACGTGGCAGGTCGTCGAGAGAGGAGGAAGGGAAAACTGTCACATGAGGGAAAGGTGAAGTCGAGATTGGACAGGGAAGAGGGTGGAGAGGACGGGTAGGAGGAACGGGAAGAGGGGGATCGACCATGACAAAAGATACGGTAAATTGGCAGACTAAGAGGGAGGAAGCAGTTACACTCGCGCAAAGAGAGCAAGGAGAGAAGGAAAGGGGAAGAATACATACGTGCTCCTCCTTCCATCTCCCTGGGTTGAGCGGATCCTCCCAGATGTTCACCCTCTTGGGTCCATGATGATCTGAAGAAACACGTGGTCGTAAACGAAGTGGTGAAACACAAGCGGAACGCACCACATGTTAAGACGCGAGAGGGAAAGCACACGGAAGAAGATCTGGGGATGAGAATTCACAGCAGATGCGACCAAGCGGCCTTCTACAGTGGCAAGGCGTAGCTTCGGCGGCGAAGGAAACAGCAGATCCGAGAGCCAGAGAGTCCGGATCGGCAAGGAGTTGCCCGGGGAGGGCGTGAGGGAGCGAGAGGAAAGGGTGCGACGGCCGCGTAGCAGCGACGCAAGCGACGCATGCGAACGACGAAGTCTTATCCTGATTTGAAGCGCGCTTGTTAGGAGTCCCGGGTCCAAAAGCGTTCTCGCTTCTAGTACTAGGCTCACCCATCCCGACCACAAACGCGGCCGAAGTACCACAGGGAGGGAGGCAGCGAGACAAGGGAAGGGGAAGCACAAACGGGTGGCACGCGCGATGGCGAATCGAGCAGAGAGGTTAAAAGCTCGGCAACAGTACCTGCGGCAAAGCCCCTGGTCTGCAGGCGCATGCCGGCGGGAAGCGGAGGCGCTACCGACAGGCGGAGGCGCTGCGCGGCGGAGCGAGCGAGAGCGTGCGCCATTGGAGGAACGAGGTGGTGCAAGGCGGGTGCGAGAGGGACGCGGCAGATGCTAGACGGTGGATGAAAGACGGTCGGTTGGATCGGGTGGATCCGGTGGATGGGATGGATCAACGGCGCAGATGATCGACCCGCAGAAACCGTCGCCTACGGTGGGGCTAGGTGAAACTATGTGAAAGAATCACGACGGCCTGGTAGTACGCCCTAGTGCTGCTGGGGGGGAGGTGTGGGTGAAAGGTGGAGGGGCAAGAGGGGAGGAAGGAATTGGCGGGAGGAAGGGGGAGGGGCGCGCGTGCTGAGTCGAGGGGAAAGGGGAGGTGGGGGATTGGGGGGTGTTCCACCAGAAGGGTGCGTGTGTGGGGACGGGCGCGTGGATGAGCAGGTGGCTGCGACGACGGGGAAGCTTGGGGAAATGTTGAGCAAGAAGTAAGGCGGAAGGGGGTTGGTTGTTCCTGCAATTTGGTGTACCCGCTAGGAACGGCGGTACTGGTCTTTCCTCCACTGTACCATGAAGCATCTTCACTTGTTTACGAGAAAACTTGAAATATTGAACATTTCCAATTGCAAAGTTTTGATCATGCATGACACAGCCATCTAAAACCAGTTGGAACGTCATCTGTACAAAAAATTGTCTATTTTAACCTAAAAAACTTCGGTTATGCAGTTATATAGACCTGCACTCCGTCCCTCCCCTCACTTGCACTCAGAATGAACATCTTTCCCAAAGTAATTCTTCCCAAGCATCTCCTCCTGCCTCCCTCTTCACCGTGCTCTCATGTGCCTTTTCCATAGCCCCCTCCTCTCCATACAACCACAACACCAGGCATCAACCGTCACTGTCACAGGACCCATCTCCCCCATCACCCCCTTGAAGGACATGCTGAGGCCCAATGGCCCTCCACTCCGCACTTGTAGCATGCACCCACAGTAGCACCTGAAGGCCCACCGGAAGCAGCACCTGAACGCGGCACTGCACCTGTGCTTGGAAACGATCCCGAACGTGCACCATAACCAGGATTCGACACACTGCTGTATCCGCTGCTGTAGTTGCTGGCGTAGCTGGTGGTGGTGTTGGAAGCAGCACCACTTGGGCTGGCATAGGAACGCTGAGAGGAGGAAGGGTTGGATGCCGCATCATCACACCACTTGAAGAATCCGCAGGGCTGCCGTGGACGGAAGAGAGATTGGGAGAGAGCGAAGGCACGAGAGATTGAAAGTTAGGGAAAGAGGGAGAGAGAAGAAATAGAAATTGCACTGTGATAATCAGCTGCGCTGCCACCTCCATCCTTCCCTTTCTCTTTGCATGCTGACCTCTGGTTTGGGGCACTTGAAGAACTGCCGGCCATTGTTAGCTGCAGTGCGGGCAGTCAGAACCAGGCACTGCCCACCGCCACATGCACAGTCCATTGCCCCTTGCCCCACGGCTCCTCGCCCCATTCCCCCTCCTGCTCCTCCCCCTCCCATTGCTGCTTGCCCCCTTCCCCCTCCTGTGCCTCCCCAGCCCCCTCCTCCCCCAACACCGCCGAGCCCAGCTCCCCCTCCCATTCCCCCTGCCCCACCAGCTCCAGAGCCTCCCCAGCTCGCCCTTCTGCCTCCTGCTGCGGAGGCTGAAGCTGATGGTGACGGTGATGCAGAATAGGACGGGAGTGAAGGTTGGCGGGAAGGTGCGGCGGCGGTGGTTGCTGCTGCGTCACACCACTCGAAGAACCCACACGAGGCGTCCTAGAAAGGGAGAAAACCGTGAAACGAAAACAAAATTGAGAGAGAGAGAGTGAGAGAGAGAGAGAGAGAGAGAGAGAGAGAGAGAGAGAGAGAGAGAGAGAGAGAGAGAGAGAGAGAGATGAGAGAAAAAAAAAACATAATTCTCATTGTTTGGCAGTGGTGTGTGAGAGACGCGTTGGACTGCAGGGCAGCAGAGCCGCAGCCGATTTACGCCTCCAAGACAATACTGACATGCAGAATGAAACACTCGCAAGACGTGCAGCAGCGCTTGCACCGCCCCAACACTTGCAACTTTTTGGGCCACCAGCATCAACAACAGCATTACCTTGTTAGGGCATCGGTAGAACTGTCTCCCCATGTTCCTCTCCGTGCGTGCAGTCAGCACAACACACCGCCCAGCGCCACATGCACAAAACCGCTCTGCCACGTCAGCACCGCTACCCCCACCACCAGATTCACTCCCAACAGACACCCCCGAGCTCCACCCTCCTCCCCCACCAGGGGCGGCACTACCAGAACGCGGAGCACCAGCATTATTAGGGCAGTCTCTTGACCAATGGCCGAACTGCCCGCATTTGAAACATTCGCCCGTTCCCGTGCCTCCTCCTCCGCTGCTCCCCCCTCCTCCCTGATCCCCTCCCCAACTCGCTCCCCCATAACCACCGCCCATCCCCCCCCACTGAAACTTGCGCCAGGTCCTGCGCCAGCTCCCGCCCCTCTTCCGCTTGGTGTGCCTGCTGCCCGCCAACCCGCGCCTCTTCCACGGCCCCTCCCCCTCCCCGCGCCCTTGGGATTGAACTCCGCCTCCATGGCGCGCCATCGCCCGCTGTTGCGCCCGCGGAGAGCCGCGAGGTAGTCCCCCTCGTCTCCGCCATCGCCCTGAGAACCGTTTCCGCCATCCCCGTAAATTTCCGCGCCGTTCCCGCCTGAATACTGGCTCCACTCGGGAGCAAGATCGGCACGGTCTCGCTTCTGGCCGGTGAGGGTTGTTGTTGGAGCTGTGGAGCCATACATGGTGGAGAATCCAGGAAGAAACCTAGCTTTTTGGGAGAGAGTGACACTGCTCGGTCACTCACTGCTGGAACGACGCTGGAAAGAAGACTAGGGGTAAACCGAGTGAGTAAACTGGAAGGTTAGGGTGAGCAGATGAATGGTTCCTTAATGAGCTGAGCTGCAGTGTTTGCCTGCGTGAAGTACCTACTGATCCTGAATTGCAGTACGGTGTGTATTTATACCGAGCATTGATAAACTTAGGGAGGTAAAGCGCAATGATAAGCCATAACCGCATGGATCGGTATTTAGCTTCTGAGAGCAACAAATGGCGGAATGGTACTCATCCACGCTATCTCAGCCGCCAGAACGGGATGCGAGACAGAGGACGCGCAAACCCTGAGCGAGGGGAAAGTGGTCAGAGATGAAGCAGCTGGGACGGAAGCTGGAGAAATATGGAAAGCCACCGAAATATGGACAGACTCAGAGACGATTCCATAAGTGATGAAATCCAGGCTCGTGCTGAGTGGCTGGAATTCTAATTCAAATCAAAGCATCACTCTCACGCTTCTTTTCGCGGAAGGGATGTTGTAACCTGTCACACTATACTCAAATGTAAGGATATCATGAAAATCAGTACTTCTTAATGAACTGTAGTAATTTATTTTCTCCTACATAAAAAGTTTTTATCCAGCTCCTTTCTAAAAAATCGTTGATGTATTGCATAATTTGATCTTACTTTTATCCCAAACCCAAATATATTCCCTGCATCAGTACCATATCGAATGTTCAAAGTACCACAACGTGTAAACGATGGCCCTAAATTGAGTCCAACCCGAAGCTGGCATTGCGTTCAGGCTTGTTCATGTGACATCATCCAAAAGCAACAAGCAAGCTGAGCTTCCTCAGCTGCAAGCTGAGCTTCCTCAGCTGCAAGCTGAGCTTCCTCAGCTGCAAGCTGCTCCCGCTGAACCACACCACCACCTTAGTATTCTGGCCCTGAATTTGCTGTCTTCACTGGAAGAATGACCAAGCTTCGGAAACTAAGCTGCTTTCAGGAAGTCCTTAACACCCTTGAGGCCATTCGAGACTCTGAGTATGACACCAAGATCTATCGGACTCACTGCCATGAATTCGGTAGCCATGCACGGAAATTCGAAAGCATTCTCGAAACAGCAGTAATGGTCTGCCCTGATGCTGTTACTGCTTTCTCCAAAAGGTATTTTCGCTTTCACCAACGTATGCTTGGAACCTGACGCACCACTTAGTGCTAACGTATGGCTTGTTTGGCAGCGACGAAATGAGAGCCCTTTCGTTTACTCTGCGTGACGGGCTTCTGCTGATCAGAAAGTGTGCTAACTCCAATTTGTTGTTCAAGCTAATGAACCGTGGAGAGCTGAAGCACGAGATGGAAGCTCTCATAGCATTGCTTCGTCAAGACTGCGTTCAGGTTTGTTGGAAAGTAGCTCTAATGCATCCTGGACACGTTGTTGACGTCGGATTTTTACAGGCTGAAACGAAGTTGAGATCACTCGCTGCAGAGGAAAACGCGAAACACGCAACGTGAATGCTGCTTACCCGGCGATGTTAGCCCTGACTCGTGCTGGGATTGACCATGGGAATGCGTGGACTTCAATGCAGCATCACCGCCCCAACCACTGCCAAATCCGTCCGTCCTCCCAGAACTGAGCACTTCCTGGAGTAGTACCATTGGGATGTTCGCAGGCTGGATTCACGTCCACTGCGACCATGTACATGGAAACATCCGTGTCTGCTTGTGTGCCCCTGTTGCTTGGAAGTGTCTCGCATTGTACCATATCCACAGGTCACCATAAAATGCGCATGGCAGTTTATTAAACATGCTGACGTGGTCAAGAGGTGAAAGAAACTAGTATCAGGCGACGATGGTGTTATCCGAGGCTAAAGAGGATACAAACCTAGAGGGAAAGGCCGTTTGCTGCACGAGCCATGATATCTCAAAATCATTGCCAGGTGTTCTCAGTAGATGGTGCTGAAGGAAGTAGCATGGAAGGATCCATGGTGCTGGGATTGGTGAACACATGCCAGCCCATGAGGTAAGGCAAGACGAACTGCAACACAGTGTGAGCAGGTAAGAAGAAAAAATGTGGGGAGATAGGAGGGGGCTGATGGTGGGTGAGGGTTGGGGAAATGGGAGAATACAAGGAAATATGGAGGATGAAGGATGGATAGGGAACGAAAAGCAAGGCCGGAAGTAAGGAGGCTTGTGGTTCAAAACGGGGTAACACAAGGAGATTTTTTAACAAGTTTACATTCTCATGCTCCAGCACTAAACAAAGATACAGTGTTTCGAACATAGACCCAGACTCGTATGTTATGGCTTGGCTTGCAAACAGCAGCATGTAAACTTGTTTAAACTCACATTCATAGCGTTCCGAACGACAATAAACTCTGCTTTGTCGACGGCCACATTGATTCGCTCATCAATGCCCTT